TGGGAGATGTCCCCTGAACGTCTCTTGTGGACAGTAGAGGGAAGACCGTCTATAATAGAGCTGCCTCTTCGTGGGGGCGATTTTGAGTTTCACGTCCTCCTTCCCTTACTTGGGGGGATCTTGGGGGAGTGGGCACTGTAGATTGCCCTGACTGTAACGAACCTTATTCACGCAGCCCACTACTGCTGAGCTGCAAGTCTTGATCAACACGTGTTCTGTTTTCTCTAGCCGTGACAGCACCATAAGCCGGCATGCCTACACCAGCACGGCATTCACCGCGGTAGAAACAGCTCCGTAAATTGAAACAAGTGATGCTGAGGCCCCTGCGTCTCCACAAGGTGGGCTTTTTGGGAGGTGGGCTTTGGGGGGGTGTGCTTTGGGAGGCTTAGTCCGGTGTGCTGCGCAGACGCTGCGACAATGCATGTGGTTAAAGCCCTTGGGGAGGGGAAGCTGCCCCACACAGCCCCGCTCTCCCAGCTGCTGTCCGTCAGGACAGATCCTGGGAAGAGCCGTGCTGTCCCTTTGTCCATCTCACAGCTCACAGGGGATGGTGACACGTCCTCGTCCCCACCAGAGCCCCACTACCGCGTCCAACGTGTAGAAGCCAGCCGGTATTTGCTCCCGCTCAGGCTGCTTCGGAGCAGGGCTGTGGTGGCTGCTGCTCCCTCTTCCCCGCTCCGAGACAAGGCAAAGCTCAGGGGCAAGAGCTGTGTGGACAACCAGCAAGACTAATCCCTTCTGTCCAGTTTAACATGTTCAGGCACTCGCCCATATAACCTCTAAAAAGTGCTCTAAAAACACGGGGGTTTTGCCTGCAGACAACCGAAGCCCTGAGGGAGTTCAGGGGCTCAGGCTCCCAGATAAATGTCCTGCAAATGCTCCCTTGCCTGATGGCCCCTCTTCTACAGCTCCACATTTCTTCTCCCTGCTCCCTCCCACTTAGAGGGCAAATAGGCACTGGATACACTGCGGAGTATTGACTGCTTGCCACTAGGTCGGAAGGACCATCAGCATCCTTCGTTCTCTGCATTTCTCAGTGGCTGAGAAAAGACAGGCTGCTGTGTGAAAGCTGTGATTATCGCCGGCTCCCGCCGCCCCCTGCCCCGCCAGCCCCACCGCCAATTCACAGGGGTCAGGCTCTTTCCTGCCTTCTGCTTTTGATCTGCAAAGCCTTGCTTGTCAGCAGTGACCCCGCCACGTCTCTGCGCATTTCCCGTTCGCTGGCGGAGCGCTTCATGAATGTCAGCCTGCATTTGGTCCTGGGCCTGGTAACCCTGACCCCCGGCCCCAGCGTGGGCTATGCCCGTTAAACCCGGCTGTCCGGGCTTTTCGTCACCGTGTGGATCGTTTCCGCAGCGCTCTGGTGCTCGTGGCTTTCTGCTGGTGGGGTGGCTGGGGGCACACAGGTCTCACAGCAGCCGTGCCTGTGCTGGCCGGGCCCGCTGCCACTGCAAACCCACCGAGTGCCTCCGGTCCCCAGGCCCCGCTCGCCCTCGGGTGTAGCCTCCTCCTTGCAGCCTACGCCGTGGCTTTTTCTAGAGGGAAAGGCTGAGCCCAGAGCTTTCGCAGTGCCTTTTGGCAGCTTCCCTCACCGAGCAGGGTGCACCTTTCTCTTCTCTCATGGCTTCCAGTGCACGTATCGCTGGGAATCCTTGGAACTCCTGGGAATCCTTGGGCGGTCGTAGCCTTCTCTGGGTTTGCCAGTCGCAGCTTCCACATCTCCACAGTCGCCCCTCCGCACTCTCAGCTGGGCGTGTGTCCGTCTGTCCCCCCTGCAGCATGCATGAGGAAAGCCCTGGTCCCACATTAAGATGCTCCCAGCAGCACGTGGCAAACGCCCCAAGTGTTTAAAGAGACGTTGGATACCGTGCAGAGGCAGGGGGATGCAGTAAATGTGCTGACACAACAGGACTGCAATGCTCCATCCTCCTGGAAACCACCTCCTTGGAGGTCAGCACCCTAAGGTACCTCCAGCTGTCCTGGGTTCTGCACCTGGGCCACGAGCAGCAGCAGAAATACTCACATGCCTGCAAGAAACGAGTCTTCTGATGCAAACCGGGGATAAAAGAGCTTAGCCCTGTGGGCTTCAGCATCTTTACTTCACCCCACCCAAGGATCCAGCTCAGATACTTCATGATAAATGGTCTTGGAGGCTGTTTCACTTGCCTTAGTCTCTTGAGAGGTTTTGGTTGCCATTAATTCTGACTGGTTCTTCCAGAGCTGTAAAGACCTGTGTCTTTACACTGCCACAATCCATCCCCGAGGGCCATTGAGCAGCAAGAGCCTGGGCAGTTCAGCGTACAAGAAGGAAATGCTGTACAAGCAGCAGCAAGGGAAGTACCGGTGCGGCCAGAGCAGAGCTAACAGCCAGGGCCACTGGGGCCGAGTTCCCTCTCCGCACCCATGGCCTGAGAAAACAGGGAGCATTGCGGGGAGCTGCCAGGCAGCTCACGCCTGCCTCCGCTGAGGACCAACTCTCACAAAGGGCAGCACAGCACCATCAGCACAGCGTCCCCTCCTCCCGAAGGGAGGGAGGGGAGGGTGGTGCTGCCGTAGCCCCTGGCCGGGGAGGGCGAGCAGCCAGCGCCTGGCCGTTCGATCCTGCTGCTTCCCATCTTGCTGTGTAGGCAAACGGGGTATTCTCCCTCCTGCCAAACCCGCCTGTTTGCTCTGCCGCATGCCTCGGCCATCACCCCTCCTGCTTATCTCCACCCTGGTTAAACAGCCCCGACGCCTGCAGTGCCTCTGCAGGCTTTGCGGGTTTCTTGCATGTCTCCAGACCTCTGTGCCGGAGTTGGAGAGGAACAGGCACCCAGCTGACGTCCTAGCGAGGCTTACGTGGAAAGAAGGAAGACACGGTGCTTATATTACACGAGGATGACGAGAACAAATGCACACAGGTTAACAGGACTTGGTAGCGACACTTGTGATTGCTGCTGTTCAAGCAGGGACAGGGGTTTGTTCACTAATGTTTGCAAAGGCTCTGGGGACCCTGCAGAGTAAGGGAAAAGCATCGTGCTGCTGAAGGCTCTTCTTGGCATAGCGCCTTGCTCACTGCTTTCCTCCCAGACTGCAGGTGGGCATCTTCAGGATCTCGCACCCTGCACTCAGCACAACAGCATTCAGTCCTTGCTTGAGCTTTTCTTGTGCTGGTAACTCAGCTGCTCCAGTTCCCCAAATAACCTCCATGACGCAGCTGAAGCCTAAGACCTGGGTGGGAGAGTCGACACAAAATACCGTCAAAAGCTGTCGTCGCTTGCAGCTACTGACATCGCGAGGGTGGGGGCAGCTCGTGTCAGCTCGGGCTGGTGGATCGGGCATAGACAACCTGCAAATGCTTCACAGCGTTTAAGGCTTCAGGATGGAGTGGGAGGTTATTCAAGGCAGGTGTTTCAGCTCCAAAATGAATACATGCAGCTAAGTCCTCTGCGTTTTTCACTCAAGTGTATGTGTGAGTGTATTTCAAGAGCTAGAGGGACACATTCGGACACAAATAGAAGTTAGGCAGCAAGACATTTTGAGAGGATGCCCAGTTTGACTATTAAAAACGAACAGAGTCAAGCACTATGCATTTTCCAACGATGTTTATTTGTTTTCTGTAGCCCACTGACACAGCTGGATCTGGCAATGGAGCAGATTCTTTTTTCCTTCAAGTGTCTATGTGACATTAAGTCAAGGCTAACACTGTAGTCAAAGGCATTTAGAGGGCAGCAGCAGAAGCAATGAGAGGCGTCGGGAGGAGGCTGTACAGCAGGGCAAGAGGGGCCGGGAGCACCTTCCCTCCCACCGCCACCGCGGAGACAGGGTGCAGAAACGCATATGATCTTTTTGGTTATCTGTACCAGACAAACACAGCACCATGCAACACAATCTGCAGCTGGAAATGGGTGGAGAGCAGGATATGGACAGTTACTGCAGTCTGCTTTTTCGGAAGCCGTGTGCCGCGGAAGCGCAGCTGCCCGTGGCGGGGAGCGGCCCGATGAGTAACCAGGCTGTCAGCAGCTGGGACACAAGCTCCCCAGTGGCATTTGCTTGCTGAAGGGAACCACAACTCTCAGGATGCATCTACTGGGACAGACCTCTCCCTTGGAGCCAGATCCACTCTGCTGCATTTCAAATGGAGTTCAAGTATCTAAAATACCGTGTAAAGAGTCACCTATCTATTTTCTTTGCAGGAGGTGGACTACCGTGCTGTCCCGTCAGGCTAAGGTTCCTTCCCAGGATGCCTTCCCTCCCAGCTCCAGCCCAGACCTGCACCTTCCGTGGCGGCTTGCTGTCCAGCCTAGCTGAAGGCAGCACCCCCTCAAACATCATTTCTCTTCTAAAGGAAGATCGGAA